TTACAACTGAGTTAGCTAAAAGTAACTAAGTTCTCTGCTAACAGTTTTTTCTCTTGCACTTTTGGAAATCACTTTTGGCTTCTTAGATTCTAATTGATTTTGATCTTCAACAATTTAAATGTAATGTCATATCTTGTGTCTTCATGGATTTATTGTCTTGCTTGGATTGAAACGATTAAAAAAGATCAAATTCTTTGATAAATGTCCCAACAGAATTTATCACATTATTTCCAGTTTCTTGGGGTTGGTTCAGGGAAGAATGGTTTGGTGGTAAGCAGATTCTGTACACGTTTTTACATAGCTCTTCAGCTCCAGGACTGATCTAACAGGTGTAAAGAATAAGAAAAGTTTTACATTCTTTAAGTAGACTGATACTATTTATGTAATTCTATCCAGATGAAAGGAAGTATCAGATTATCAGAAATATTGGAAGATCAGTAGTTTCTCATGTAAAGAAATCTTATATGCAATAAATTTTCCATGCAAGTCAGAGATATTGAGTATTATTTACAATTAGTAATTCAGGTCATGAGTTTTTTTATTGTTAAAAGCAACATCCCTACATACAAATTACAAACTGGGGATACCAAAATGAGACAAATACAATGATTTAAATATCTGGGAAGTGTGTGACAATGAAATCCAAAGGTATATTGGGATAGCAGGGGATGCCTTTCAAAAGCTAAGCAAAGTATTAAGAAACAAGAAAATCTAATTAGAAACAAAGAAGAGAGAACTGTTGCATAATATCAGTCCTCCAGTGAATGCTGCACAATCTCCTTAGAGACTTGATGCAACAGAAATATGGTTCTCCAGAAGAATGCTGAGAATACCATAGATGTGAGCAATGACAAAGTTTTAGAGAAAATAGAAAAAAAGAACACTTATGCTTATCATAAAGAGGTAACTGAAATTTCTAGGGAACATAATGAGGAAAGAAAGCTTGGAAAATTTAATGCTCACAAGGCATAGTGGAAGTGAGAGGGACAGAGAAAAGCAAGGCATAACCTTGTAAACAAGTGAATGTTCTGGCAGAACAAGAGTTACGAGAGATAACAAAAAGACAAAATTTATTAAGAGCTAAAAAGGACAGGAAATTGTGGAGAGCCATGATCACCAAAGTCCTGAAGAGATGTGGCACATAGAAGAATTCATGTCAGGATATACTAGACAGTCTCAATCAGATTAAATATCAATAAGAAACGTCTCTTATAGTGGAGACTTATCTGACCTATCATGACCCAAATCTGTACCAGGCTCATCTGCATGATGGTAAAATAGACTTTGCACTTAGTATCAAAACAGACCATCAGAGAAGCCAGGTGCATCAGGAGGATGATCTGAAAGATGACTAGGTGTAGATTTGTGCCTTCTCCAGATAGCAGTGGTTGTCCCCAATATAAGCACATGGTCAATCCAGAATGTGCACACATGGGACAAACTAGATGACAGGTAAATATATAAGCACTTACCTGAGAGGTAAAAATAAGAAGAGGGTTTTTTTTTAGATTCTTGTGACTATAATTCATGTTTAGAGAAAATCAAATGTTATACACCCAATGGGTGACAGTAATTGACTGGAGTGAAATAAATGTCATGTATGAGAAATTTAGTCTTCTGTTCGTATTAGTCTGTATGATGCTAATGTTAGAGTTATTTTGTTTTATTTGAGAGATATTTTATAAGATTTGTGTTTTCAGTTAAGACATTTTTTTATTGAATACACAATGGTTAGGAAATATGTCTTTAGGTTAAACATATTCATTGCTGAAATGTTTCAGACCTTTAAAATCATGCAAATCATTCGAAATGTCAATGAAGAAAAAACTTAGAAACACTCAATTTTTTTTTTTTTTTTAACATTTTCATTAAAATATTGTTATATTTTTACGTAATCTTATTTGAACCTTAGAACTGATGCAAAGAAAATAACTTTTTACCTCTGAGCTATATGTGCAAGTTCTTTTTTTTTTTCCCCACTGTTTTGAATGAATATTTTGAAACTTAATTAAGCTAGCGAGCAATGGAAAATTTATTTGCTCTTTTGGATATTAGAAATTTTACTCTTGAAAATTTGGCAAAGGAAGCTTTTCATTGCTCTAGACTTTTTATAAATGTGCCAATAAATTTTCTTAATAATATCTTAAAATGTTCTGTATATAATTACTACACTTCGGTTCTCTGAAGAAAAAAAAAACATTTAACCTCAATATCTTTAAAAAAGCAAAAAAAAATGAAAACCTAAATAGTGCCAAAAAAGATTTAACCAACAAGGTTGATAAATACCGCGAGAATAGTCAGACTTAGACTGTCTAAGATTCACTGCAGCAACTATAATTCTCAAACGGATTTTTAAATATGACAGTTCATGCATTATTCTGGCAGTTAACCTGTTTATGTACTTGGTGTCTTCTTTGAGAATAACAAGAAATTTAACAATTAAGTCTCAAACATTTTGGGATTTTTACAAAAAAAAATCCCTGATGCTCAAAATCCAAGATTATTTATAAACACTGTGGTACATCAGACTTCAGTGCTAATTTTATTTATTTCTTTTTTTAATTATTTTTCATTTAATTAATCTGTATTTGATTTGATGACATTTACTCAACATTAGTAAAACAGGTTAATACATAAATAGAAATTAAGAGAGAATGACTGTATACACACAAACAGTGCAAGATTTTATGATCAAGTTTTTATGCAAAAATCAGGGTTCACATTATACAGAGGTAATTTTTTTTTTTTTTGAAGAGCTTAAAAATTATGCATTTTTGGTGACTGGATGCACTATACACAGGTAAAAATTTTTTTTGAAGGTGTTAAAATTCATTAAAAAAAAAAAAATCAATGGTTGCGCTATACATGAGTATATATATGGTAATATTAATTTATTTTCACAAATAGCAATAGGTTTGCACAACTATTTAAAACCCAATAAAATAAGAAATTAGGTCATAACAATGGTTAAAATTTAGAATTTCTTCTACAGGATGCCCTACAAATAAACAGGAAAATTGGTAGAGTTTAATTGTTGGAATTTTGTCATAGTTATTTGAAACAAAAGCAAAGGATAGAAATTTAGTAGCTTAAAACAGAAAAACACAAATGTTAGATGTGGTGTTCAAACTAAAGAACTTTGGCAAAATTTCTTGGCATTTTTTCAGCCTCTAAGTTGAATGTTCTTTCTTCAAGAGAACAATCACTTGATGCTGAAAATTTCATAACTGCAGCTTCCTGGAACAATAAATGGTTAAAAATTGATATGTTAGTTAATTAGTCCTTTCATATGGTGAAAGTTATTTTTTTTTATATGTTAGTTAATTTTTTCATCATATAATAAATCTAAAATTTCCTGGGGTTTTTTTTTGTGGGTGCACTCTGTATTTCTTAAAATTTGTAATTTATTTATTTTATTTTTTAATGCTGGTATTCAAATTAACCCAAAGTAACATGATATGAATAATGGTTAAAAGTTTGTATCATATATTTATATCTATAATTATTATTATTTTGTATGAATGTATTGACAGCAGTTTAAGATATGCTGTATTAAAAAAAGACCCTGATGGAGACAACAAAGATTAGCTCTACTTCAATGACAACACTCAGTTCCAGGAAATTTGCCAACCTCAATCATCAAGGACTGAGATAGGCAAAGTTGCAAGAACAAAAATAAAACAAAACAATAGCTTTAGGCAGTTCTTCCATAATTTTGATGTTGATGCACAACATCCTAGTCAAAATTAAACAAATGCAATAAAATTTAAACAGACCTTGTTAGTTAAATTTAACAAAACTAGTTTATATATATATATATATATATATATATATATGTGTGTGTGTGTGTGTGTATAAATTATAAATTCACATGTCCCTTAAGGAACAGTATTCCTGATCAAACCAAATTCATAATGATTATATTGGATATACTACAACATGCCTAACAAGAAGATTTATGTTATATCACTCTGACCATAGCTGAATTCGGTCTCATTTAAATACACATGGAGACCAATCAATCTCCATTCACAACATAATTGTTGATAATACAAATACAGTAGCCTCATACATATGTAAAAAGGCTAAAAATAATGGAGGAATTATTAATAAAAAAGAAAACAATCATTAATATCAACTATGAACACAGCCACAATGTGCTGACCATGTTTGGAAAATAAAATATTGCTATAACTTATACATAAAACAATCCATACATTCAATTAAAGTAAAAATAAAATTCATCTTTGATAATGGCTAATATATATATATATATATATAAAGAAATGTAGTTTTAAGGTGCACTATATTTATGGCGATAAAGTGCTCAATATCAGAGATACAGCGTATGTAAATATAAAAGTGAACATTGAAGTGAACACTCAGAGGCGACAGGCTGTTTCATGCCAGACACAATTGTCAGGCAGCCTGATGATTGCATCTAGCATGAAACAGCCTGCCGCCTCTGAGTGTTGACTTCAATGTTCACTTATATGTATGTGTGTATTCTTGGAAAGAAACTGCTAAGAAGTTCCTCCTTGCGAATGAGGATGACTTGGCACTGTGCACTTGGCATGGCTGGCCCTAAGTGTGAAGGTCTGGACTGATGGAACTAAGAAATGCAGAACATCTAACATTCATCATAATAATAGAGATAGAATAGGGAGAGGCTAGCAATGGTTTGTCTGTAGGAAAGAAGCTGCAGATTAAATTTTCTTTTTTTTCTATCTCTATACTATTATAGAATTCTGCAAGGATTTGTGAGTGGTGTAACAATTATTCACATAGAAAGCTAAGCTCAAATTTCAACAAAGACTGTTGTTCACTTTCACAGGATTATTCTTAGGAAAAAGTACGAAACCATCTTTTCTCCCACCAAGTTTGGAATAAATAACAGGGTAGACTGATATCCCTAGCCTTGGGTGACAGAATACTTAAAATTCACAATCATGCAAAATAACTGTCTTACTGTCATTCCCAAGAGTTTGTGGTAGCTTATAGCCACATCATGTGGAAACACCAGTTCCTGTACAATCACCAAAGTTAAGTAATGTTAAACCTGATCAGTACCTGAATGGGTGACCACTTGGGAATACCAGGTGCTGTAAGCTTGGATGAGCCAAGTTCGAATTCATGCTGGGTTCATTATATTTACTTACATGTAAATACCTTTAGGAAAGCTATGAATCCACCTCTTCTCCTCCAGCTATGGGTTAATTAGTAAGACTGGTCTCCCCCCCCAAATTATCTTCAAAAAATTCTTGCAATATAAAAATAGATCTCATTTTCTTTTTTCATTATTTTCTTTTTTATTATTTTCTTTTTCATTTTTCATGTTTATTATCTTATTTTTTTAATTTCATTCTCTTTTCATTGTTTTCTGTTTTTTCATTGTTTTCTGTTTTTTCATTGTTTTCTTTCTTTTTCATTATTTTCTTTCTTTTTTATTTTCTTTTTCATTATTTTTCCATTATTTTCTTTTTCATTATTTTCTTTCTTTTTATTTTCTTTTTCATTATTTTTCCATTATTTTCTTTTTCATTATTTTCTTTCTTACTTTTTTCATTATTTTCTTTTTTTGTAATCTAGTTTCCCTTTTTTTTCTTCATTATTTCCTTTTTTTAAATCTAGTTTGGCTTCTTTTCCTTTACTTGGTTTCCACATTTCTTTTGTATCTTTATTCCTTCAACTTTTCAGTTATTCCTTTTAACCACTTTTCTATTCTCGTATTGCTTTTTTCTATTTCTGTTCTTCCAGCAATTTCTAAAAATCACTTGTCTCCCATTCTTTTTTAATTTCTTGGGAAGTTTTTCTTCTTTTTCATAATTTATTTCTTACTTGATGTCATTGTGTTCTTTAAATTATGTTTACATTTTCTTCTTCATTCTTTTCACATTTTCTTCTTCATTCTTTTCACATTTTCTTCATTCTTTTCATCTGAATTTTCTCTTTTTTTTTTTTTTTGTTTAAACTTTTTCCTTCGGTTTCTCACTCTACATTTTTTGACTTGTTGCTTTCATTTTCGTTTTGTTCAAATAATTCTTCTGAACAAATTACTTACCAAAATTTTTCAACTTAGTCATTATCTTTCCTTTATAAATCCATTTATAGAAAAATAAAATCTTTAATGAACTGAAAAAATCTTAGTTAAAATGCAGTACACTTGAGGAAGTAACATATTTACATGTAGTTTGTGTGTGTACATATGCAAATAAATAAACCAATATGTTAAGACATGTTTACAAACTTTTCATATGCATAAAGTTTTCATTGTGATCCTTTCAAATTCATGGCATAATTTCTTGGTAGCCTTAGAAAATTGATTAAGAAAAATACCAAAATTTTCTTTCAAATAGTTTTATTTTCCCAAGTGCTTTCAATCTCATCTGAGACCATCTTCAAGGAGTTAAGTTGTCTGTGAGTACGTATATGTGTTTCTGTAAAATCAAAACATTTCAGCTGTTCATTTTTACTGCTTATGCAGCATTCTACATTTCAAAGTTCATGTGTTTTTTGGGGTCCTTTCTAGTATAAGGGAAGTAACTTTTCCATTGTTGCTCATACATATGTAATTTTTTTTTTTTTCAATAAGCATATAGTTGACTTTATTTTGGGCTTTAAATCACTTATAGAAAGAGCTTCAAGAATTTTTAGTTTAAATGCTGAGATATTGAACTATGCTTGAAATGTAAGCCTTTTTGTTAGCATCATCATAGTAAGGCCAACATACATATTGACATATTTATCAGAATACAATCTCCCAAATGACATTTAATTTGATATACAATGTTGTCCTTTTGCAAAATGCTAGTTGGTGAAGAAGAATTGTTTTGGACAAGTAGATTGGTTGTATTAAATTTAGTATAGTATATAAGTAATTTTATTTTTTTTACTTGGATCAGTGGGGGATATATTAGTGTTTATGAGTTTTTTTTAAATTGTTTCCTCCTATTTATAGTTGAAATGCCTTTGCTTACGATATAATAATTTCATATGTTTAGAGTTGTTTGTTTGTTTCATTTTTTATTTATACTAATATTTCTAATATCTTGTCTAATTTGTTCAGTAACAATGTAATTTGAGAAGTCATTATTAATGAGGGTTTGTTTAATATTTTTTTAATTCAGTGTTGAAAATCTTATTTGTTGAAGAATTTGCTTTTGTATGGTTTATTAAGCTTATATATATATTTTAATTTAAATAATTATTCACTCTGACTTAATATTGAGCTCTCTGGATTTCATCCTCCTTGGGATTATCCATACGGATTACCAAGATTTTCATTACTTCAATATATATATATATATATGGTAGAAGACTGTTCAACATTGGGATAGAGCTTATGTAGATACAAACAGAAGATGATCTGTTAAGGTGTAAAACTAAACAGTCATACAGTGATGCTTTTTGGGCACACCATTTACACACACATACATACTGTTGAAATAGATAAATGTAACTGTATGTTCTATATTCATTTGCTCAAAATTATGAGATGCCCAAATAGTTTTTGTTTAAGTTGAAAAACTTATTTTATAAGCAAATTAATATGTGATGTTCTGAAAAGAATAATATATTAAAGTTTTCCTATCCTCAAGATAATCCATCTATAAATCCTCAGTACAATCAATGAAGGGGGTTAATCAAACCCCAAACATATAATGCATAGCTGCAAATCAAACTCTTGTTGTTTTTTTTTTTACCCCAGCAACACTGGATAATCTTGCTCATTTCAAATAAATTCCCTGTTCTATTAGATGATAAGAAGTTCAAAACAATGTTATTTCTTATGATACGAGAATTGAATTGGGAATTGGAGATGATCAACTCTTTCAGCCTGAAGGAGTATCCCAGGACTAATGATAGGCAACAGGTCTCCTGTGATAACAGTTAATTAATTGGCTAATCAATTATTAATTTGCTGTGCAAGTCAGCTCTGGGAAATGAAATTCAAAATAATCTTAATCAAAATGATTGATAGAATCTAGATTAATTTTGTCATCTGTATTGTGGCTCTCAACATTATATTAATCTATCATTATATATATATATATATATATATATATATATATATATATATATATATATATGTGTGTGTGTGTGTGTATAATTTGTGCATTTAAGCCGGAAATTCTTTTAGGCATGTCTGTTTAAATAACTTGCAAACATTATTTCTGCTTATTTTTATCATAATCCTTTCTCATTCATGAATATTTTTCCATATATTACAATTATTGTTCAGTTGTAATATACAGAAAAATATTCATGAATATGAAAGGATTATGATAAAAATAAGCAAACATAATGTTTTTAATTTATTCAATACATGTATAAACATCCTCAGACTTCCATCTCTTTGATCCAGTAAAATAGGCACTGAGGGAGAAACATTATAGCAGTGATGAAGTTTGAAAACTGTTGTAAGGAAACGGCGACATCAGCAGCTAGCTGATGTTTATGAAGCTGAGATATATTCCCTCATTTGTAGGTGGAACACTGTCATCAAAAGAGGTGACGGCTGTGGAGAAGTAGAGATGTGAACCAGTGATGTCTAGCTATATCTTGATGTATGATGTGTTTGATCATGTTCCTTATTTCATGTATAATAAAATAAATTGCATTATTTTTTGACTCAACCAGTAAATATTATCATAAAGAATTTTAAATTTGAGCTATCATGGTAATTTTTAACTATCTTTTTTTTTTTTTAATTTTTTCTTTTACTTATCATTTGTTCTCTATGAGCAGACATTTCTGCTCAATTGGAATGCGGAACAGTTCTTTGCCGAAAGATTACTTCTAAAAGTCTTGGCATGTGCAGCTAATTGAATAGCCTTGCTTCAATGCAGAACCATTCAAATGTCAGACAGAGATGTAGGTCCCATTGTTACACACTTGGCACCGATGCCTGCAATAGAATTGCATGATAGGCTTTTTGTTTGTTTATTGTTTTTTTTTGTTTTTTCATGACTGTTATTGTTGTTATTTTAACTGCTAGTGAAGATGGTGATTTTGGTAATGATTATGATAATGTTAATAGGGTGAGGATGATGACAAAGAGAAGGTGAAAACCTGTACAATGGCAATATAGCTTGGCAGAAACACCAGTCGTAACTTTTGCCCTTACCCTGCCACAAATATCTTGGGCTTCATATTTAGATAGAGATCAAGAATCAAATGTAAAGTGTCATGCACGATATAATTCCCTAGCCTCTGAAAGATTAGTACCAAACATTTTTTCAACAAATTGACTCTGCTACATACTGTAACGAAGTTTGGCAAAGCCAAATGAATGATAGGATTTTTGGGTTGGTTTGTTTTACGGCATATCAACACTAATGGGTTATTTAATGCCGACAACATTTTTTTCCTGGTAATATTTTGTTCTGTCAAAAATCTATTTCTGGTAATATTTTTTTCCTCAAAAATGTATAGTTTGTAATATTATTTAAAAAAAATATATTGCTGGTAATAGTTTTTTTTTCCTTGAAAAATTTATTTCTGGAAATAATTTTTTAACAAAGTATTTCTGGTATTAATACCTATTTTTATACTTTCTTAAGGCTTTTTACCTCAGTTTCAGGGTTAACTATTTGCCTATAATTGGGACCCTAACAAGAGCTACCACCCCAGGTCAGGGTAGACCTGGGAACACCAGCAATTAAGAGGTGGTTCCTTGCTCCTCAAAACCTCCTGAGCAGAGGCCTTGCTGTTGGATGTATTTTATCATCTTATCCAGGATACGGATATAGTTTATCGTCATACCCAGGATGGAAATATGATAGGAATTGCATTTTATAAAACCATTGTAACTTTTTTATCACACTAAAGGAAAACAAAGATGTACTGAAAAAACATATCAATAAAATGTGCCCTCCTGTATTCATGTGCTCACAGGAGGAAGGAAACTGACGCTGGTAATATGACTGCTATTATTACAGCTGTTGCAATAATTAGTATGGTGATATCTGCCACACAGAGTTTACTGACTATTCTGTGTTAGGAAGAATAATGTGTTTTATCCTTCCAGTAGCACACCAATAGTAATATTATCATTAGTGTAGCCATTGATACACTAAGACTGAATACGAATATAGAAAGATGAAATA